GGTGAGAGGGGTCTGAACCACCAGCTAAGGATGCTGAGCTTCATTTGCAACAGATAACAGATTTAATGGCTTATGCTCTTTGACAAATAAGATGCATTTTCAGACCTATTTAGAGATGTCTACACATTTTACATACGCCTGTGTGGCACTATCCACACTCCCTGCTAAAGCTGTGTGAACATCACAAGCTTTCTGTGAAAGGAAGACATATCAGTGTGAATTATGCATACTGTCTTACCCGGCAGTGAAGGCTAAAACTGCGCAGACTGAAATGCAGCATTACTCTCTTCATTCTCATCCTCTGTCATGCCTCTCTCCTCTATCTGTGGGGCTATTTTTCTGGCTGAGGGTAAAGATAGAGTTCTGCGCAACACATCTTGGGGCTTTCTAGATTATTCCGCTATCAGTCAAAAGTAGAAATTTAAGAAAAAAAAAAAAACTAGTAACCTTCAGCCCATTCACAGTGCCCTCCACTTTCTTTTGCTGCTTTTTATAATACAGAAATTCAATCAAATCCATCCAATTTCGTTTTTTTATATTTTTAAGAAATTGAATAAAAACTTATTTCCATTTTAATCTATACTACATGGCGTCACTCTTATCTGGGATGGTTTCTGTATCTGTCTGGAATATCGCTTATCTGTAACTCCGAACACTGACACTCGTTTTTAATTCCCAGCAGACTAAACATGGAGGACGAATGCAATTTCTCCCATGAGCAAACATTGTGAGGCAACACTCCAAATAATCTTCATTAAACAACACTTTTTATTCAGTTTCGAGGTTATGATCCTACATCATAACCCTCTCCTAATAATAATAACTTTTTTTTTCCTTTTTGTATACTTTTCAGTTGTAAAACTGACAAGGGCATGTGGGGGGGGTTTTCTCTGAGGACGAATGCAATTTCTCCCATGAGCAAACATTGTGAGGCAACACTCCAAATAATCTTCATTAAACAACACTTTTTATTCAGTTTCGAGGTTATGATCCTACATCATAACCCTCTCCTAATAATAATAACTTTTTTTTCCCTTTTTGTATACTTTTCAGTTGTAAAACTGACAAGGGCATGTGGGGGGGTTTTTCTCTCACAAACCCAATCACAATACACTATTCACAATGTAATGCATCTTAATAAACCAATACAGGACAGTATATCCTCTCCCACTAACTAGATGGATGGGTGGATTGACAGAGCGATGGATGGCTAGTGGCGTAAAAAGAATGTTTATCCCTCCCTCCACCCCTGCTCTCGGAAGGACAGTTCCTAAGTGCTTGTGGATTTTATGTTTACGGTGTTTTATAGGGCAGATCTTGAAGCCAAGAGCTGTAAAATGTTGTGAGAGGGAGGAGAGAGAGGACAGGGGGTGGAGGCAATGTTATTGTAAATCCAATCTTTATTGAGAACAACAAACAAACAGTCCTCCCCACTCCAGCCCACCTCTCCATCACTCTCCCTATTGACTGATTGAGTTCTCAAAGTTTCAAAGAATATGTATTTGTACGTTTTTGCTCAGTAAACGGTTGTTTAATTCTGACCTTCATAAGAGTCTAGCACACACAGGGGCAAACTATGGCCCTCAACGTGGTTTAATCCAGCCCACACGTCAATTATCAAAAAATGTTTTGTCATTCAATAGCTCTGTTATCACTCAGTAGCATCTAACGTGCCTCCAGCAAAATGTAATGAAGGACCCAAACCAAAATACTCAATCAGTGCTTTAAACCTGCACAACCTGCCCAGTATTTCACGCAGTTTACCCAATATGGCAACCATGAGCATGTTCTCTCTCTCTACTGTGAAAGGTGCCACCAAACATCTAATTACATGTTGGAGATTATCAATCTCCAGTGCTATATTCTGTTCAAAGGAAAGTCATTGCTTGGTGCTAATTACATCAGTGATACATTTTAATCAAACTCAGACCTGTTACTCAAACCTGGTTGCGGTGTATATCCAACACTGCACATTTTGTATGTCTCCCTAGTCAAAGATACCTGATTCAAGACATCGACTTTTTAGTAGAGACTCGAAGACCTGAAATGGGTATGTCAGATAAGCAAGACGTCCAAAATGTGTAGTCACTGGGGGGCTCTAGGACCAGGAAACATGATACTTGTTAGATCCAGGCAACCACTCAGTAGCATCTAACTTAATATTAGATGTTTCATGACAGTTTTCTATAATATGCACACATGAGCATGACACATTTCCCTTGATAGTGATTCCTCTGTGTACTGCAACTACTAAAAAAAAAAAGAAATGTTTTAATGAAAAGCACAATAACCTGGGAATATTAACTTTTCCTATAATGTTTCTAAGAGGCTAAGGCTCTTAGCTTACCACTGTGTACATTTGAATCATAAACTCTCCAGGGAGGATGTAAAATAAACCTTGTTGAATGTCTGGTGAAAACTGTCTACCTTAGTACAGCAATACTGAAGGTAGTGCAAAAAATGAACTGAGTGGCCCCATTAGTCAGACATACTTCAGAAAACTGTGTGCCATTTATTAGAATGAGCACATAGACTTCTCTCAGCTTTTAGAAGATCCAAGGTAATTTTATTATGCCCTCCCACTCTCCATTTAAAATCCAATGCGGCCCCTTTGCCAAAAATCCTGCTCACCCCTGCAGCTTCCACAAATGAAAAGGTAAAGATAAATGCAATAGAAATAATCACTGGACTGTAACATTTGGAAGGTGACTGATCAAATGCATGATCACTGAATTATATACACTATAATAATACAGATAAGGGTGTGTTTCTTTGAACAGTACATGCATAATTTTCTTTACATTAATGTGCTGCAAAAAAATATTTAGGCTTAAATTTGACATTTGAATTGCTTATACAGTTTCCATCTGTTTTAATTACAGAGTTTTACCATAAACTAATAAACTTAATGTAATGCATATTTGTCATTCATACATAAATGAAACTTGTAAGATTTCTGTAATATTACTAAAACAGACTGTTTAAATAGTACTTATCATCAAAAAAATCAAATTCATCTGAGTCTCATATATTTGAACTATTTGAAGTTAATCATATTTTAACTATGTTTATACTTTTTAACTGAATAAATAGATGCTGATTCAAAGCATATGAATCAAATGCAATCATTTAAAAAAATATGATTATTCAAATCTAATAAAAGAAAATAGTTAATAATGCTATGCCATGATTTTTTGATTCCGGAATCTTTCATTTATGTATGACTGAAAAATATTCATCATATTAAATTAATTAGTTTATGTTAAAACTGTGTAATACAATTTTACGTACAACTCAAATACATAAATCTTAAATAAATAAAAAATCCAAAATGTACTAAAAGTTAACTCACTACTCTTTTAATACACAACATCCTTCTTGTGAACAGCACATGCATGTTATTCAAGAAACAAAAAAATCTTTCATCAAAATGTGAATGAAATTAGTTAACACCTGCAAAATCTTTAAAGCAACATGCTACAAAAACATACAGGTACAATCCTCTTAGTGCATGCTTGTGTTCACTTGGGTACATTGGTGAGTGAGATGCACACTTAGCAGTACTGGGAAGTTCATTGCAACCTCTAAATTAATGACCACTGGACAGTCTGTTAATCCTCACGCTTTTACACCGAGACCTACGGCCAGCCGATCAATGCGTCAACTGGGAGAGATGAATCAATGCCCTGTCAGACAAACTCCTCTTTTTCTCTCCATGCCCACTCTTAGTCCTTTGCCTTTTCAGCTTCTTTTTCTCCTCGCCCACTTCTTCTCTTTTTGCTCATGTTCCAAACAAGTCTGAAAACAATCTCTCTGCACACCTGTTTCAATGAGCTCCATTAGGCCGACTAGCAGTAGGCATAAAGTCTTGTGGTAATACGATTGCTAAAACATTAACCAGTCACTGCTTTGCTTTATGGCAGCTTAGAGCTGATGATGGAGAAATAATAAACCTGAGCACTCTACTAACGCTGTATGAATATGCTGATGTCAATATGCTAAATATCTTGAAATGCTGACTTTAATAGCAGCATTTTAATTATCAAATTGATTCATTTCCTAACCTAAAATTGACCTCAGTTCAGGTAGACGACATATTTATTTTAACACAACTGAAACAAGATTGTGAGGGATAAATGTACAGACCTAAAGTCTTAGTTCACAGCTAATTTTTACAATCAATCTTTTGGAATGATGTACTTCAGTATTGAACAACTGACACCAATGTACACAACAGAAAACCTGTCCCTCTGTTTCCTTTGGCAAAATTAAATATAGCTATTCTGACTAAAGCTTGCAGGTGCATGCAACTGAGAGAGTTTTTAGTCTGTCATCTTAGTGCTTGACTTGTCTCTTTAGCTATTTAAAGGATGCAAATGTGAAAAAGCTTGAAAGTCACTGAAAGTCACTTTGTTCTGCAACTGCCAAAAACAAACTCGCAAATGCAGATGAATGTTACGAAACCTTCAGGTGTGTCTACAAAGGGACTGACTGGATACCACACACAGACAGTAAGCTCTATCTCCACCTAGTGACATGACATCTACCGATGAGGATGGCTGATGATTTCTGCTTCCTAAAAGGCATCTTTTATTAGTACTGGAAAAAGAGCAATATGGCTGAGAAGGGGTTTTTCTTTGCTCTATTGAAGTGCTTTCTGAACTCAAATAGACATTTAGTCCTGCAAACCAAGATGAACGATTCACTGCCTTAATATATAGGGCAGTTTTCATTCAGAGAAAAAGCACTAAAGCTCAACTATGCCGAATCTTCCTGCGCATTGCATATTTTCAACAAAAATGACTTGCAATTATGGAAAAACAATTCATTACAAAAAAAATGACCAAGACTCTTTGTGCAAAAATTATCTTAAACATAAAATGCTGAATCTGTGTTTTAAGTTTATGATATACGGCCAGGCAAAAGCGTACTTGGGAACAATAAAATAGTTTGGCAGACCAGGTAATGCAGACTGAATTTTCCTGTACTTGGTTTCTCACCTGCGTTGGCGATTGCGTCGATCTCCAGTTTTGTGATGTCACCACTGAAGAGGGATATTTTCTCATTCAGCTCTTCATTGACTTTGTACCGAGGCTTACAAGAGGAGTCACCTAAAAAGAAGCACACAGTTGTCATGTATTTACACAAAACAACCCTCATATAAGTTGGTCTACATACAACAATCTATTCATATCTTCATGAATGACTCCAAACAGGTTCAATTGGTTCAGGATTAAAACAAAAAGATTCTCTTTTTGTATTATTATTATACATGATGAGTGTTTTAGTGTGTTTTATTCACCTGATGGACTCCAGACAGGAATCTTCTCCAGAGGAATGAAGTCAACCCTGTACGTTTCCCTCCTCTTCTCCTTATCCATGGAGCAAAGCTTTTCTACCAAAGACAAATATGCAAACCAAGTCATACAAAATAAATCAAATGAAACACTATTTGATTTTCATTTAGAAATTTCAGGGCAGTTTACTGATATTGATAAATACAGTGATTCTGATTGGTTAAAACAGAAAATGTTGATGTTGGCTTGAGACTAGACTTAAAGTTCAAATAGTTCCAATAGATAAACAGACCACTGTAAAAATGGTCACGATTTGAATGGTAAAAGACTAAAAATGCTATAGTAAAAACGTATTAATTGGTTAACGGTAATTTCCCTCACTATATACAGTGAAAAACTTTAATGGACATTTCATGTAATTTTACGATAAAATACAGTTTTTGGAAGTGAAAAAGTGAAATTTCATGTTCGATGTTTTTTCATTGAAATAACTTTCTTCTTTTTACTTTTTCTTATCAGTTGTGTACATTAGGCATTTATCTTACAAATAATGTTAAATTCATGTGTATTGCCTTATTTCAGTTTCATGTGTGTTACTATGATGGTGTTTAGTATCTGTGTGAATGACACAGCGCACTTTCTATACATGAAGAGTTAATTTGCAAAAACAAATAACTCAATTTTTAACAATTTTCAAAAATCATGTTTTTTCATTGTGCATTCCAATTAATCTCAATCAAACTGCAGTTGGGTTATTTTGATTAAGTAAAAATAACTACAAAAATACAGCTAACTAACACACTAAAACACAATAAAAAACATGATATAATAAAAAAAACTAGATTTTTGAAGATTTAAAAAAACGTAGTTATCTGTTTCTGCAAATAAACTCTTCATATATTATTGTTTTCTTTCTCAGCTTGTGGAAAAGCTGTTTTGTGATGAGCTTTGGTTCATCATGTGATTTTCTCATGACCACATGCTCTTGATGGTTATCAGTGTATTACTAAAGATACTAAACAGATTTCAGTATTTTGAGTAGGTTGGTATATTAATATTATATTATTATATGAAATACGGTTTTTAAATGTAAATTTAAGTCTGTAAAACCTAAAATGTTGCTACCATATTTTTACAGTAAAATTTTGGCAACCACAGCTGCCAGTTTTTTACAGTAAATTTTACGGATTTTTTTTTTTACAATGTAGAGATAGATTTTTTACAGTGTAGACAGACAGCCAGACAGCCAGACAGATAGATAGATAGATAGATAGATAGATAGTTGTATAATCGGGATAATGTGCAGTCATTTGCTAATTAAAGTCCTTCAGTGTTAAGCAAGAGCCGGATCACCCTTGATATAATAATAATAATAATATATCTTAATAATTTTAATGAAATGATATTTGTTTCTGGTTCTCTGTCAGTGGAGTGTGTGCTGGACAGTGGCTCTGATCTCTGGAGAGGGAGGGACTCACTCTTCGCCTCTGTCCAGTCGCTGCTCTCTGAGTCCAGGTTCAGCTCGGGCCGCGTGCTCGTGCTCAGAGAGGCCAGCGCCGCAGCAGAGACCCCCACGGCGCCCACTACAACCCCGGTGATGCGGCGCGGCTTAACAGCCCCTCCACTCCGCCTGTGAAGTGACTTTGAGGCCGTGGAAACCTTCTCCCACCTGTCTGCTTTACGTAAGAGCCCCGGGGAGGGCAGCGCTTTGAGCGCATGAAGGGAGCGATGTGCAAGTCTGCTGACCAAATCGAGATGAGTCGGACATCTGTTCCCAGCGCTGGATGTGAACCCAACGCTTTTGGAGAGCCAAACACGAGCAGCAAGTTTTGACATCTGAAACGCCATGGTCTCTGTCTTGGCAGCTGGCAGATCTAAAGTTTAAAGCCCGAATGTCTCCCGTCTGTGCCTTGATTTTATCCTTGTTGCGATATGGAATCTGTTGTAACAAGCAGTTTACAGTTTATTTGAAATAACAATAGTGAAATTGAAACGCAACTGTCTGACAATGAAAGCAGACGGGACTATACCAATATGTAGGGGTCCGTGAATTCACTCGCCAGCGCTTTTCGTTATTTGGACTGTTCCGGATAAACATCATTCATCCTTTACTGACATCTAGCGGCACGATGCTGTAAGCGCAATCTTTTAGTCAAGCTGTCCTGTTACTAATAGCCTAATTTTGGTTTGACTAGTACAATTGACATGAAGTTTTGTCAACGTCCTGATTTTGGATTACACTTGATATGAATTTAGGCGCTGTAACTGACTATTTTTAGTTTCTTAACAATTTGTATTGGTAATAGTAGCAATATCATTCCATTCCTACTGTGTTATTCCTATGTATGTCTGCACTATCATGTATGTTTGCACTATGTCCATACTTTCTTCTGCACTTAAAGCTCCTGTCATCAAGTCAAATTCCTTGTGTGTAAACATACTTGGTAATAAAACTCTTTCTGATTCTGATTCTGATATAATGTGACACTTAAGATTGGAGTTATGGCTGCTAAAAATTCAGCTATGCCATCACAGGAATAAATTAAATTTTAAAATATATTATAATAGAAAGCAGTACCTTTAAACTGTAGGTTTTTCATAAATGCATGCTTGGTGAAAATAAGAGACTACTTTCAAACTTTTGTCTGGCAGTGTATAATGTTTATCCATTTATTTATTCATTTCTAAAACAAATACAAGCCAGAAAATTTGCATAATAATTGTGAGCTCTGCTGTCTCGAACAGGTAACGTTTTTTTATGTACAAATATTGCATTTACTCTCAATTAATATAAAACAGATTTAGATGAATATGAATTTGAAATAGGATTTTTATGTATCCCATATACCCGTTTCAGTATCTTTTCTTTTCTCAATGTTGGCTAAATAAAGACTCTACAGAAGCCTCTTTTATATTGTTTCAACAGATAAAAATCAATAATTTGATTATAGCACTATCTTACACTGTGAAAAACAACAATAATACACTCTGCGGTCTAGGCTGTACTTTCATGCCCATATAACATGAGTCTAGTGCCTGAGTTTTTGTTGTATTGTGTAAGAGTGCATTTAGTGTGAAAACAACACAGTCATACACAGTTCCGTTACACGGAAGCCAAGAAAAGAGGAACACCCTTTTCTGTCAGCTCTGACATACCCTTAAAAACCACAACTGATTTTACACAGCAGAGGGGTCTTGTCTATATGAGTGTGTGCTTGTGAGAGTATCTCATAAAGAAACCTACCAGCATTTAATTGACCGCACAAGAGAGAGAGACTATCATCGGCAAATCCAGAGCCAAACAGACAAGGTAACAAAATTATAATTATTTTAAATACAATTTTGAGCTATTATAACAGTGAGTAATTTAAAACAAAGACAGTGAGATAGTTCTGTAGTCACTTTATTTAAGATCACTAACAAATCATTTAGAATAAAAATGTACAATATAATACAATATTAAGGTGGTTAAATTACATCTAAAGCATTTTACTTATATAAACTATATTATCTAAAGGTGTTTCCTACACATTGCCCTATTTTGCAGTGTTGTGTCTACATGAATTAATTTTATTGTGGAGTTTAAATGATATGAAGCTGAGTCGTTAAATAATATTTTTTTATGTTTATTGAGTTTGGGTCTATTTCAGTTTTCAGTTTCAGTTAACTATTTTCAGAAATATCACACACACACACACCCACACGACCAATATATATAAACCAACACACACAATTACATGCATTGGTGGATTAGACACTTGACCAAAAGAGGAAATGTGTATAAATGGGAAGTTTCAGCCTCAGTAAACTTAACTAGGAGCAAACGGCATGATCACACTCACAGGGTAGATGAAGCATGATCTGGTGATGTGTAACCACCATTACCATGAGTATGATCATGCTAAGCATGTGATATACAGCTACTCATCATGCGTTTTAAAGTTTGGTCCATGCTCAAAACTTTGATGCTTTTAAATAGAATAATGGACCAGTGTACAGAACAGCTTATGTCTGATCAAACCTCACTGTTTCCATATTTTTTGGTATCTCTTGGCAGCAGTATGGCAGCGTGGGACCTTACAGTCACAGTGGAGGATCTTGGTCCTGATGCCCCACCCCTTCAAATCAGCGTGACCTCTGATCTGCACATTGGTGGAGTTATTCTCAAATTAGTTGAGCAGACCAGTGAGTTATGCTCTAGATGCTTCAAATATAGGCTATTATATTATATAGGCTATTATATTAGCTTTTTTGTGCACATACTATAACAGCAACATGACACACATTAGATTTACATGTACCACCATTAAAAAGTTTATGATCAGTATGATTTTTTTTTTAAAGAAATTAATATTTTTATTGAGCAAGGAAGCATTAAATTGGTTGAAAGTGACAGTAAAGTGACTTTTACATTCTTAGTATAGATTTCAATTTCAAATAAATGCTGTTCTTTGGAACTTTATATTCATTAAAGAATCATGAACACAATATATATCATGATTTCAACAAAAATATTAACTGTTTTCCACATTAACAACAAAAATAAATGTTTTTTAAACACCAAATCAGCATGTCAGAATGATTTTTGAAGGATCATGTGACACTGAAGACTAGAGTAATGACAGCTGAAAATTTCATTTTAAAATATTTTAGAAAACCGGTTTAAATTGTAAGAATGTTTTACAATATCATGTTTTTTTTCTCTCTGTATTTTTGATCTAATAAATGCAGCTTTGGTAAGCATGAGTGACTTCGTTCAAAAACTTTACCTACCCCAAATGATACCCCATATTATCAACAGGACAACAAATTATCCCATATTAATAAAAAACTGTGTTTAGAATTAAGTATGGTTCCTAAATCTTTATTTACCATGTGAGATGTTCTTGTGTCTTAATTCTAGATCTGAAGAAGGACTGGTCCGATCATTCCCTGTGGTGGGAGCAGAAGCAGCAGTGGCTGCTGCGGACCGGCTGGACTCTGGACAAATGTGGGGTCCACGCAGATGCTCGCCTTGTCTTCACCCCACAGCACAAGCCTCTGCGACTGGGCTTGCCGAATGGGGCTACGCTGAAAATGCGAGCGTGTTTCTCCAGTACTGTATTTCGCACAGTCATGGGCATCTGCAGGGTTCTCAGTAAGTGAAGGATCAAGCTTGGATCCAACACCCCCAATTGTAATTCAGCTTACAATTTCCAAAAACGAATCTATCTTGCTTTCAGATTTACGTCACCCAGAGGAGCTCTCCTTGCTCCGTCCTGTTGAGGAGAAAAAGAAAAAGAAAGACAAAGATTCCTCAGAAGAGCTGTATGATCTTACAGATGTTCCTCTAACCGCAGGTGCACAAAATAACACATTAAAGAAGCTTTTAATACACTATTGTTCAAAAGTTTGGAGTCAGCAAGACTTTTTAATGCTTTTGTATACTTTTTATTTTTATTGAAAATACAGTAAAAACAGTAATATTGTGAAATATTATTACAATTTAAAATAACAGTTTTAATAAATTTTAAAATGTAGTTTATTCCTATGATCCTATGATATGCAAGGCTGAATTTTCAGCAGTCATTACTCCAGTCTTCAATCCTTCAGAAATCATTCTAATATGCTGAATTGGTGCTCAAGAAACATTTATCATGATCAATGTTATTGTTTTATCTGGATGTAGTCTCTGTTCAAGCTCTGTACAATGGCATGCCGGCTCATTTTGCTGACTCTCCGAAGACTGAGGCTGTGTATAAAATGCTGTCTGTCAGCTTGCCCTCACCTGCTCCTGAAGCCATCGCTAAACTCTACCGGCCAGCCAGTGTGGTGGACAAAACACATATTCACACCAGGTACAGCAGAGAAACAAACAAAGATAATTCACATTTCATCCTTAAAGGGTTAGTTCACCCAAAAATGAAAATTCTGTCATTAATTACTCACCCTCATGTCGTTTCAAACCCGTAAGACCTTCGTTCATCTTCGGAACACAAATTAAGATATTTTTGATGGAATCTGAGAGCTGTCTGACCCTCCCATAGACAGCAATACAACTTAAATGTTCCCAAGTCCAGAAACGTAGCAAGGAGATCGGTAAAATAATCCATGTGACATCAGGGGTTCAACCATAATATTACGAAGCTACGAGAATACTTTTTGTGCACAAAAGAAAAAAAAAA